GCCAGGCCCGGCGTGGCCGGCGAGCCACCGCGCGTGCGCGACCTGGGCGGGGCGGGCAGGCCAGGCCCGGCGTGGCCGGCGAGCCACCGCGCGTGCGCGACCGGGGCGGGGCGGGCAGGCCAGGCCCGGCGTGGCTGGGGAGTCACTCACTGCGCGTGCGCGGGCGGACACCCGCCGCTCCGAAAGAATGGGCTGAGACCCTTGCGCTGCCGCCACCGGCATCTGGGTGAGCCGAGAGGCGGCTTCTGTGTCGGCGGGCACAGGGGCTTAAGCAGTACCCCCTTTTTGATAGCAAACGACAATAAACACGACAGCATCTCCTTGACCAAGAACATTCGCTTTCATTCGTCACCTTGCGGAGGCGGGAGAATGGGCACTGATCAGGTTGAGGGTTAACTGCAGAAGGTCGTGTCCTTCCTTTGCATCGTTTCCTTCCTTATTCTAGCAACAACCTAGCAAGGTGGGCTTCGTTGTTCTCATTTTACAGGGGAGATTGTCCTTACAGGTAGGCGTTGGTAGGAGTGACACTTATGTTTAGACGGATTCTGAAGCCTGTTCATTTCCCAGTTTATCCCAGTGCCCTTGCCACGATCGACATGCTTTAGGAGTTTTAGGTTACTGGCTCTGTGCTTGGGTTGTGTGATGCGTAGAAGATGGCAGAGAATGCAGTCTTACCACGATTCAGAATAGCCCAGAATAACCTTGGAGCCTACTAAAAGCTGTGGACAAGCTGTTATTGCTAGAAACAGACGTGTAAAGATGCTCCTATGGTTAATTTGACATCTATTTTCTTCTAAACGGAGAGGGTTTAGATACCCTAAGATTGCTCTGCATTTTTTAAAGCAATTAAAAAGATCTTTACAGTACAAAAATTTTTACAGTACAAAAGTATAGAAAATACTATAATGAACCCTCAGGTACATATGACCAATTTTCAAAAATTATTACCTCATAAAATCTCCCATTTTAGAGAAGGTGGGAGAAAGTGGTGAAGACAGGGCTTTGGAGATGGAATACATGAGTTGAAAGCACAGCTACCAATTAGTAACTGTGTCAACTTGGACACATTATTTCATTATGTTAAAACTTTCTTACCTGTAAATGAAGACATATATATCTCTTTGGTTAACTGGATTAACATATGTGAAGTACTAAGTGCCCACCCAGCACATGGTAACACTCAACATATTAGCTCTTACTGTCATTGTTCTTTCAGCCTCAGAGAAGCCTTGCATGCTTGTCAGGATCCTCACATTCCACCCTCAATACTGCTAACGGGTCAAGGGGCTGTTTCCACTTAGTGAACCTCGTCTTGAATAACTTAAGCAAGGGAAAATGATTGTCTTTCCTTACAAAGAGATAATCTAAAGAGGAAAGGAATTTGGGATTGGGAGGTGAGTGGTAGAGTTGTTTCTGTATGTGCTCTCAGTTTACTCTAATTGAGATTTTTGCAGCTAAACATAGTTTTCTAGTTGTATGGGTACACATGATGTACCTCATGTACAAAAGATATGGTGGGTGTGTCTGCCAGAAAAAACTGGAGATTTTTAGTTTTTTAGAGACAGGGTCTCACTTACCCAGGCTGCAGGGCAGTGGTATAATCCTTGCTCACTGCAGCCTCAGACTCCTGAGCTCAAGTGATCCTCCCACCTTAGTGTCCTGGGAATCTAAAGATACAGGGTGCACCAACTGTGTCTGGCTAATATAAACAATTTTTCTGTGTGTGGAGACAGAGTATTGCTATGTTGCCCAGACTGGACTCAAACTCGTGGCATCAAGTGATCCTTCTACCACTTTGTAATCCCAAAGTGCTGGGATTACAGGCATGAAAACTACACTTGGAAAAACTAGAAATTTTCAAAATTACTATGATGCCACTAATAATTTACTCCACAAACTTGAGTGTGTAACATATATCTTATGATTTTAGTAATAAAATTTAATTTGATTCTGTTCCCACTCTTTAATAGTGGGAAATTAAGTCTTAGTTATCACTGACTTTTTTTTTTTGAGTTGGAGTCTCACTCGGTTGCCGCAGCCTCGCCTGCTGGGCTCCGGCGATCCTTCCGCTTCAACCTTCCAAATAGCTGGAACTACAGGCCCGCGCTACCACGCCCGGCTAATTTTTTGATTTACCGTAGAGATGAGGTCTCGCTGCCCAGGCGGGTCTCAAACCCGCGGGCTCAGGCAATTCACTCACCTCAGCCTCCCAAAGGCGCGGGATTACAGGCTGAGCCACCGAGTCCGGTTATCACTGACTTTCTTACCTACAAAGTTCTAGACTCGTAGATGGGACAGGACATTTGGGGAAAGTCTTTAGTTTATATAAGAATGTTCTGTCCAGAGCATATGTCCTGGCTCCAAGATTCCTGAGACATCTTCAGCAGGGGGTTCTTTTTTGAGTTCTTTTTTGATACAACTGAAATCCTGTTATTTTTCCAGAGAACTGGAGGGGCTTACAGAACTCACAGATTTCTGTGTTCTTCCCAGGCTTAGAGGAATCTCTTTTTCTATTTTCTGCTTTCAGCTTTGCCTTCCTACTTTCAGAAACACTTTTCTTTTCTTTCTTCCTTTGGATGATCGATTTCTTCAACCAGTTTAGGATTTTATTCCTTTGACATTTTGTTATTAACAAAGCAGGAGTTTTTTGTAGAACTTTTCCTTTTAAGAAGGAAGTCAGACCTTTCTGTTTCCATGAGTCAGGGAATTTATATCACAGGACCAAACACTGGCCCATACCTTCCGGGTCAACCTCATCTCTAGCTATTTTCCCTTTTATCATAGAGGACTTCCCTAACTACCCAGTAACCAGCCTCCCATTACTCTCCATCATATTTCCCTGTAAACTTTTCTTCTTCTTTTCTATTTTTGAGAGACAAGGTCTCATTCTGTTGCCCAGGCTGAAGTGCAGTGGTTGTGATCATTATTCGCTGTAACCTCTACTTCTCGGCTCAGTCCCCCGAGTAGCTGGGAATTCCGGCAGGCGCCACTGCATTGAATACATTTTTAAAGTATCGTGTTCATTTGTGCGTTGTATTTCCTCCTCCCAAACCTAGAATGTCTTGCTCACTACCAGCTCTTGAAGCAGATTAAGAATACTCACAATAGTTTACAAAGCTTCAGCTATAATAATTTTTGGATGGGTAATATTTTTACGTGAGAAAGCACACAAGGTCTGATTCTCAAGGTAGAGCAAGAAGAAGTACAGAAGGGCATATGGCGAATGGGCTTCCTACCCCACATGTGTTTCTCAGAAACCCCGTTCCCCTCTTAGGCGGCAACCATGATCAGCTTCTTCACATTAGGATTTCTGTGTTCTACTCAACTGAGAACGTCTAAGCCCCGAGTTACACGGGCGAGCAGGCCCCGCTTTCATCCTGGCTAATTGCTCTTCAAGACCTTCTAAAAACAAAACCGGCCAGCGATTTTAGCAGGTCCCCTAAGAGGCTTGAGTGGAGGAGTAGGCTTTCTCCCTTCCCTCCTTTCAGCCATTCCTCAGGACGCCTGGAGAAGGAAGAGCACACAACCTTGCGCCTCAATTTTCGGTTCCCCGATAACCCGGGGTCCGCAGCTCGCCGGTTACCATGGTTTCGGACGCCGTGCGTCTGACGTCATGCCGCGGCGCGGGCTGATGACGCGTCGGCTCCGGCGCCCTCCGAGGGCGGGGGCGCAGGGAGGGGGGAACAATTTCGCTCTTGGTGTGGCAGGGTCATGAGAAAGCGGCGGTGGCGGGAGAGAGGCGGCGGCGGCGGGGCAGTGGAACTGCGGTAGCCGCCCGCCGGGCTGGTGGTGTGGCCTTGGGGGCGGCCGTCGCTCCCAGCCGCCTCTCCGGGCAGCCGCCGGGGCTCGGGGCTGAGGGCGGCCGCGGGGCCGCCTCCCCGGGCCCCCCGGCTCCGCCATGTTCCGCAGGGCGCGCCTGAGCGTGAAGCCCAATGTCAGACCTGGTGTCGGCGCCAGGGGCTCCGCTGCCCCCAACCCCCAGCGTGGCCGGGAGTCTCCGAGGCCGCCGGAGCCCGCCGCGGACTCCGCTTCCGAGCCGGCGGAGCCCACGGATGTGCCCGCGGTGGATTTCCGTGGAGCGGGGCCCCAGGAAAAGGCTTCTCGGGGCAGGTAAGGGCTG